AAAGCAAGGGCACTGATTGGAAAGAAATGGGATCCTGATCACTAGAATGGGGACATACGCGGGGGACTCAAAAAACCCGGAATGTATTTATAAAAAATTGTGTATTTATTCTTACATGTTTAAACTTCAGTCACCTTCAAAGCACTCTTTGTTTGATGCAATACACCTATCTAGACACTTTCTCCATTGCTCAAAACAGTTTTTGAACTGGTCAATATTGATGCCTTTTGGTGCTTCTGCTGTTTTTGGTTTCACCTCTTCCACACTGGCAAAACGTTTCCCTTTGAGGACTTTTTTCATCCAGGGAAACAAACAAAAAAAGTCGCTCAGGGGGAGATCAGGTGAATAGGAAGCGTGGGGCATGGGAGTCATGCCGCTTTTGGTAAGAAATGCTGAACACTCAGCACAGTGTGGGCAGGTGTGCTCGTAAACCACCCATCATGAAATAGGCCAATATGCTGAAATAAACTAAATACTTTTTAAAAATTCACTGAAACTGAATGCAGCCTCTAACAACAATGCTAGCAGGTACACCAATGCTGATGGGTTCCTAGAAGACTAACCTAGCAGGGGTAGCCTATACTACAAAGGACCCACCTTCCAAAAGATAATCCCAGGTTTTTTTGGTTCCCCCTCCTCATATGTGAATATTGAAACTCTAAATTCTTATGTATCTTCTTTACTTTTTGCCTGAGGCTTCAATGACCTCCCCTGAGGTACTTGCTTTGTCAGGCACTGTTGATTCCCCCAAGAACTCTATGCCCACCACCCTTCTTTGCTTTTAGACCTATAAATTGGACTCAAATCAAAGTAGGCCCCAAAAGGTGAAGTACAAAGTATGACTCATGAGTATGCATGCACACCAAAAAAACTGCATAAGTCCAATTGATACAGACCAGAATCTAAGACTTTCTGTGGATATGAAAGTCAAGAGTGTGTGATCATGGTAGGAGGAACAAAAAGTTGGATCAGGATGGATTGATCAATATAGGCCCACTGAGCAGAGATTCTGAATTTGATATTGTTGCTTATGTGTTAGAAAGGACTCTAACTGTTTGGTTGGTTGGCTGAAACATAGACCTAAAGGTGGTCTGTACTAAGTGAAGTTGAAATGCCAGAACTGCCCTGGTATACTGCAGGGGAAGGTATCCAAAGGCTTAGGAAAACTGAGATGTTGGAATGAATTTATCATGTGAGACCTGATCATCTGCTCTGGGAGGGTCCAGAGGACACATCTGTCGCCACAACTGTAAGAACCAAATTTGTGTGGGGAGCCCCAGCATCGCTGAAGAGTTCTGTTGCTCTTGTCTATAGGTCAGAACTTGCAGTGGGAATGCTGGCACTGAATAGGTAAACCTAATCACTTGGGAATAATTGGATCCTGTGGTGGCAGGGGCCAAGTGGAGGTATTTAATTGCCAAAGGTGACAGCAGAGTCAAAGCAACAACCAGAATAGTCTGACTCACAGAGATCAATGGTATGGTGTCTATAGAAAAGGAATAGGTGGGAAGTCTACTAAATTCTTAGTTGATCTGTATAAGCAAAAAAGTTATAGATCAAATGAAAAAAAGTCTAATTTGAATCACAAAACCACAGAGTTACGGTCCCTCGGTTATTTTCTAGACTTGAGCCTATTTACAGACCCAGAACCCCTTGAATGAAGGGGATGCCAGGCTCCCTTGGGAAAGGATCCTAGTACACTGCCAAAAATGTATACTATTACTCATTTTCCCAGCCTTCTCCAATGGGACCTATGGCCTTTTATCAGGGTGACTGTGCTTTGGGGAAAAAAGGAAATAATCAGATATTTTGGGAATTACTGGACACTGGCTCTGAACTGACACTAATTCCAAGAGACCCAAAATACCACTGTAGCCCACCATTCAGAGTAGGAGCTTACAGAAGTGAAATGATTAATGGAGTTTTAGTTCGGGTCCATCTCACAGTGGGTCTGGTGGGTCCCTGAACCCAGCCTGTGGTTATTTCCCCAGTTCCTGAATACATAGTTGGAACAGACAAATCCAGCAACTGGCAGAATCCTCACACTGGCCTCCCCTGACCTGTGGAGTAAGGGGTATTATGGTGGGAAAGGCAAGTGGAAGCCTTTCCTCTACTTGGGAAAATAGTGAACTGAAAACAATACCACATTCCGGGAGAGATTGTAGAGATTAGTGCCAGCATTAGGGACTTGAAGGATGTAGGGGTGGTGATTCCCACTACATCCCCATTCAACTTGCCTATTTGACCTGTGCAGAAAATAGACAGATTATGAAGAATGACAGTAAGTTATCATAAACTTAACCAGGTGGTAACTGTAGTTGCAGTGGTTCTTCCAGATGTAGTTTCACTGCTTGAGCAAATGAACACATTCCCTGATGCCCAGTATGTAGCTACTAATCTGGCAAATGATTTTTTTTTGTGATACCTGCTAGTGAAGGCCATATTCACTGACCTACCTCATGGGTATATCAACTCTCCAGTCCTATATCATACTTCAGTCTGCAGGGACCCCGATTGCCTTTTCTTTCCATCTGATATCACAGTGGTCCATTACATTGATGATATTTTGCTGATGGGACCTAATGAGCAAGAAGTACCAACTATCCTAGACTTATGGGTAAGACACTGACATACGAGAGGGTGGGAAGTAAATCTGACAAAAATGTAAGAGTCTTCCACTTCAGAGAATTCTGGGGATCTAGTGGTGTAGGACATGTTGAGAATCCATTCTAAGGTGAAGGGTAAGTTTTTGTATGTGTCCCCTCCTACAAACAAAAAAGAGGCACAATGCCTACTGAGCTCTTTGGATTTCAGAGGCAACACATTCTTCATTTCACTCTGGTCCTTTTGCCAAATGATCCAAAAGGCAGTTCTGATTGGGACCTAGAACAAGAGAAGGCCCTGCAACTGGTCTACACTGCTCTACAAGCTGCTCTGCTACTTGGGCCACATGAACCAGTAAATTCAATGGTGCTGAAAGTGACAGTGGCAGACAGAGATGCTATTTGGAGCCTTTGGCAGGTTTCCATAGGTGAATCACAGTGCAGATCCTTAGGATTTTGGAGCAGAAACCTGCCATGCTCTGTGGATAACTATTCTCCTTTTGAGAAATACCTTTTGGCTTGCTGTGGGGCCTGAATTTACTTACTCACTGAATTTAAGCATACTAGTTAGTGGGGGAGAAGAAACTTAACAAAGATTCCCTTACTAACAGTAAGTGAACATGGAAGATGCCAGAGCTGAATCTCTGCCCCATAGTAGGGCTCCAGAAATGTGGCATACAGAAGACCCACTCCCCAGTGCTGCTTGTAGCAGACAAGTCCTTCTGATTGAGGCCCAGCTTGTGGATAGTGTTAGGTCAATAGCAGCTCCTGGTACACTGGGCTGCATGTTATTGAACTCGTGTTGCTTGAGAATGTAGCCCGAAGTGGGTGATTAAATTCCATGTAAGGCTAAACACCAGCACAAAATTGACAGTCACCAAGTACCATAAGGGGAAATTGAAAAGAACTTTGAAGAGAGAGTTCAAAAGCATGTGAAACTGTCAAGAGGTGTGAACTCAGCTCAGACATGGCAACTCTACATTCTTGGTCCTGGGTAGTGGCCCATTCCCTCAGTCTTGGAAACAGAGAGATAGCCCTGTCCTTTGAAATTGAGGAGGTGGTGGGTCCCCCATCTACCCTGCCTGTGCCCCAGAGAGCCCATGGTGGCAGCTGCAGCCTTACTGACCTCTGAACCATCCTTTAAGTTATTCTTCCCTTTTCTCGACAAATAACACATGTTCACAACCAAATAGCTTTACCATCCCATTTCCGGCCTGTAGAGTCCCAGGAAGTCTATTGGTCTTGCTTCATCTAACAACCTTAGCAAAGCCCTGCCAAGCTCTGTGGCTCTGTCCCCTTCAGCCCAACCTGGCAGCATTTCTACTGAGATGGTTGACTGGATACACAAGTCACACACCTAATCTCTTCAGCAATCAGTTGTCCAGACATACCCTGGTGTTGTTTTCAGAGTATACTTTTTCAATTTGTATAACACAGATAGGCTGATAATTTCCCAAATCTTCAAGTTCTGATACCTTTACCCTAACACCTACTTCTTTAGTTTATCTCTTTCCTCTCATGTTTTACTATAAGTAACAGGGAAAAATCGGGCCATGCTTAGACATCTCCTCAGCTAAATATTCAAGTTCATCACTTATAAGTTCACTACTTTTTACCCACCAGAACTCAATTCAGTCAAGTTCTGGCACTTTATAACTAGGATCGCCTTTCCTCCAGTTTGCAATAACATGTTCCTCATTTTCATCTGAGACCTCACCAAAAGTACCTTTAGCTTCACGTTTCCACCAACAGTCTCAAGGCAATCTAGGATTTTTTTGTCAAGTATCTCAAAACCTACCCTCTAGCTCCAGCCTCTACCCATTAGTCAATTCCAAAGCCACTTCTACATTTTTTAGGTATTTGTCACAGAAATACCCTTTTTCCAAGTATAAAATTCTATATTAGTTTCCTAAGGGCTGCTGTAACACAAACTGGGGGGTGAGGGTGGGACTCAAAACAACAGAAATTTATTGCCTCACAGTCTGGAGACCAGAACTCTAAAACCAAGATTTCAGCAGGGCCACGCTCTCTTTGAAGGCTCTGGGAAAGGAACAGTTCTAGACCTCCCTCCTGGCTTCTGATGGCCTCAGTTGTTTCTTGGCATGTAGATTTATCATTCCAGTGACACACCATCTTCTCCCTGTGTCTTCACATTGCCTTCTGCATGTGTGTGAATGTGAGTGTGTCCAGAGGTCCCCTTTTTATAAGGATACCAGTCATATAGGATTAAGATCCACCCTAATAACCTCATTTTAGCTTAATTACTTCTGTAAAGACCATTTCCAAATAAAGTTACATTCTGAAGTACTGAGCTTATAACTTCAACGTATTTTATTTGGGGGGTACAATGTAACCCATAGCAGGCTCCTCACAGCTTCATAGGTTGGCTCTGCTTACCCACTGAGAGAAGGTGGCTGTAATTCTCCAGTGTCACATCCCAGTACAGGCGTCTCTGAGCAGGGTCCAAGAGCTGCCACTCCTCTTTGCTGAAGTCCACGGTCACGTCCTCAAATGACACTGATACCTGTAACAATACAACCCTGTTCAAGGCAACAAGATCAGCACTGAAGGATGGGGAGAAGATAGAGATGAAGTTGTTTTTAATGATTTTTCATCATAATATACCATATGGTATATCTACTAAATACCTAGTATATGAGGGAGCACCCCCCAAAACATGGAATTATCTTTTGGAGGGCAGGCCCCTTGTAGTACATTTGTTCCTCCAGATCAAATGGTCAACCAAAGTTTTTATCTGGAAGTTTCAAGAAGGTTGCATCACGATTTGTGGAAGAAACGTCCCAAGTTGTGGCAAACAAGTGACTGGTTCTTCCACCATGGCAATGCACCTGCCCATACCATGCTGAGTATTCAGCAGATTTTGACCACAAACAGCATGACCCCATGCTTCACCAACCCTAGTCACTCAATCTCCCACCACTCCCCCTCAAGCGACTTGCTTTTGGTTCCCTGGATGAAAAAAGTTCTCAAAGGGAAACATTCTGCCTATATGGAAGAAGTGAAACAAAAACAGCAGAAGCACTAAAAAGTATCGAAACTGACAAGTTCAAAAACTGTTTTGAGCAGTGGAAAAAGCATCTCAATAGGTGTATTGCATCAAACAGAGAATACCTTGATGGTGACTGGAGCGTAAACATGTAAGAGTAAATACACATTTCCTTATAAATAAATCTCCATTTTTGGGTCCCCCCTCGTGTGTGTGTGTGTGTGTGTGTGTGTGTGTGTGTGTGTGTGTCTATGTGTGTGTATAATGTATAATATAAACATCTAATCATAAATGTCTGCTATTTATTATGCATGACATTTAGTCAGTCTTTCATTTTAAAAAATAATAATTTTCAGGTGGGAGGCTCACTTGAGCCCAGGATTTCAAAGCTGCAGTGAGCTAGGACTGTGCCACTGCACTCCAGCCTGGGTGAGAGAGCAGGGCCTCATCTGTAAAAACAAAAACAATAATAATAATAATAATTTTGCATAGGATTTTATCTTGGTCATATTTTGTTGCTCATTTTTATGGAAAAGCTGTGTTCTATAACTTTTAGAAGGAAACATGTATATCCCCCTATTTTTCTAACTTCACATAGCTTCAGCTACTGTTGCTTTCATTTAGTTTTCAAAAATATGGCCATTTTCTCTTGATGCTCATTTCTAATTTAATTCCATGGTGGTCAGAAAATATACTCTGTAGCTTTCAATATATGGTATATCTAGGAGAATGGCCCATGTTTCCCTGAAAAGAATGTATATTTGGCTATTTATGGGTGTAGTATTCTATAATATATAAATCAAGTTGGTTGAATATTGCTGAAATTTCCTATCACCTCACTAATTTGTCTTCTACTTGTTCAATCACTTATTTGTCAATATTTTGATAAAAATTGACAAGATGTTAAAATGTATGTGACTATGCAAAGGGCCTAGAGTCACTTAAAGCAAGAAAAATAATGAAGGATTTATACTAACATGAGTACTAACTTGTAATGTTAAGACTTAGTATAAAGCTACAGTAATTCCGACAGTATGGTACTGATATAAGGACAGACAGATATATCATTGGAACAGAATAGAATCCAGAAACAGACCCACATATATATGGACAATGATTTTTTTGGACACAGGTGCCAGCATGATTCAATGGGGAGAAAAAAGTCTTTTCAACAAATTGTGCCAGAAGAAATGGATATTGGTATTAGGGAAAAAAAACAAATCTTGACCCATAGCTCACACCATATACAAAGATGAATGAAAATTAATTTTCAGTATGACCTCATTGCTTTTACCAGACCAATTTTCATACAGATAACAACTATAAACTGAACAAAATACAAAAAGTAAAAAGAACTATCTGAAGATACTAACCACCAACCCAAATCAGGCAACTACTGGAGGAGAACTGACACTTAGAAGAAGGGATGGCATTTTAGCTTGTGAATAGGTACAGTCAGTGCCATGCAGGGTAATTAAAATTCCAATAGAAAACCATCAGCCTTATTGACTTGAAGAGGCAAAGGGGAATTTTGCAGTCATCACTATCACTGGGAAGTCAAGCGGGAATCCAGAAAGGTATCCAGAGAGACAAGGGTACCTAAATTCTGTGAATGAACTCTCCCGAGTCTCTGGTTGATCACTTAAATAAACTGAAACTTGAGCTACACATACCACAGAGGAGACAGCTTCTAGTTTGAGTCCAGTCAAGTCAAGTGCTCATGACACAAAATAAAACAAAAAATCAGCAATATTCAGAGGAACTAAACAGAATTGAACATTTCCACAATATATGTTTCATTAACAACCAAGATACAATCTAAAATAACTCAACATAGAAAGAGATAGAAAGGTGTCAAGAGAATAATAAGAGGTTCCAGAAAAAAATACATCAGAGTCTGACCTGAGGTGATCCAGATGCTAGAATTAGCAGAGAAAAAATGTAAACCAGTTATTTGTAAAGAAAAATGTGTCTACAATAAGTGAATAAGTAGGTTAGCTCAACTGAGAAACAGAAACTATTAAAAAAAAAAACAAAACCAAAAAGCCTAGAACTAAAAAAATACAATCTGAAATTTAATAATTCACTGGATAGGCTTAACAGAAAATGGAGATAGAAGAACGAAGTAATGTACTTAAAGACAGACCAATAGAAATTATCCAATCTGTAAAAGAGAAAAATTTGAAAATAAAAATGAATAGTCTTGGGGATGCTGCTATGGTTTGAATGTTTGTGTTTCTTCTAAAATGCATGCTGAAACTTAATTCCCAGTGCAACAATATTAAGAGGTGTGGCCTTTGGGGGGGTGATTATATCATGAAGTTTCTGACCACATGCATGGATTAGTACTCTGATAAAAGGGCTAAAAGGGCTGGGCGCAGTAGCTCACACTTGTAATCCCAGTGCTTTGGGAGGCTGAGGTGGGAGGATTGCTTGAGCCCAGGAGTTCAAGGCTGCAGTAAGCCATATCACACTACTGAACTCCAGCCTGGGAGACCGAGTGAGACCATGTTTCTAAAAACAGAATGTGTGTGTGTGTGTGGGGAGAATTAGCTATGCCCCTTCCATTTTGCTCTTTCATCCTTTCTGCCACGTGAAGACAATGTTAGTCGCTCTGGAGGATACAGCAACAAGGTGCCATCTTGGAAGCAGAGAGCAGCCCTTACCAGACATCAAACCTGCTAGTGCCTTTATATAGAACTTCTCAGCCTCCAGAACCATGAGAAAAAATAAATTTCTGTCATTTATAAATTACCCAGTATCAGATATTTTGTTAGAGCAGCATAAACAGACTAAGACAGATGAGTAAGACAAAATCAAAAGATCTAGAATACATGCAATTTGAGCCCCGACAGGAGAGAAGGGTAGAAAAATACTTTAAAAATAATGGGTGGAAACTCCTCAAATTTGGTGAAAGACATATATTTACAGATTTAAGAAGTTGCAAATCCCAATCAGGATAATCCTCAGGAAATCATACCTAGGCACACTATAGTCAAATTATTGAAAACCAAAGAAGAAAAGATTTTGAAAGCAGCCAGAAAAACAAACCAAAAAAACACCAAAACATGTAAATACAGGGAAACAGTGATTCAGGTGATCAACAGAAGAAATGGAGGCCAAAATACAGTTGGATGATCCTTTTAAGATGCTGAAGAAAATAAAGTGTTTTCTGGCTAGGTAAATGTTAGGAGTTCCTTGATTAGGTCTCAAGATCTAGGAATAATTCTTCATGGCTTTTGGCTCCACCCTCTGGGTTCTTCACTCCACCATCAGAGTCATCCTTCCTTTTTATGAAAGGCAGTAGAAGAGTTTGCTCAACCTGCTACCTGCCAGAAGAATTTTGGGAGTCTAACATCTTCTTTCCATTTTGTATTGTTTGTATCCCTTTCAGTCCAAGGTGATAGTAGTTCTGCTGATATCATTTGCTTTAAAATTTTATTGGTTTTCTTGGTTTTAAAATTTAATTGGGTTCACTCCATTAGACAAAAGCTGCACCCATAGAGCTCTCTGAAATAAGCCTTTCTCTACCTGGGACTCCTGGGGCTGAAGGACAACGCTCTTAAGCTTCCTAGAGACCCTACTGTTTGACTGAGAAGGTCTGTAAGGCACCTTTGATCTCTTGGATCTCTTGGCTAAATACTCTGATCCTCTGATCTTACTGGGATCTTAAAAGGTTGCACAGTGACATCCTTTGCTTTATATCTAGGCCACATTTTCCTGATGGCACTACAAAGCCATTTCTTTTTTTTTTTTTAATCAATATTTTTTATTTTGATATTGTGGGGTACAGATTAGGGTTAGGTATACAAATATGCTTCGTTCAGGCACCCTTGTTGATGGGGGTGTCTCCCCGTTCCCAGACAGATATTGACTACTGTTAATCCCACCTCCCTTCCCCTCCCCCCCTATAGTTTCCCCCCAATGTCAGTCTTTTTTTTTAATAGTATTACGGTGGATGTTCAAGGTCCACTGTATGAGTGAGAACATGTGATACTCAGATCTTTGTTTCTGTGAGAGATCACTCAGTATTATTGACTCTAGTTCCATCCAGGTTGCTGTGAAATTCATGATTTTGTTCTTTTTTATGGCTGCATAGTATTCCATTGTGTATATGTACCACTTTTTTTTTAGTCCAGTCCTCTTTTGATGGACAGCATGGTTGGTTCCAGGTTTTTGCTATTGTGAACAATGCTGCAATAAACATTCATGTGCAGTTATCTTTTTGATAGAGTGATTTGAGTTCTTCAGGGTATATTCCCAGTAGGGGGATTGCGGGGTCATATGGGAGGTTGCTATTTAGAGATTTTAGGAATCGCCACACTGCTTTCCACAGAGGTTGCACTAGTTTACACTCCCACCAACAGTGTAGAAGTGTTCCCTTTTCACCACACCCTCTCCAGCAACTGTTATTTTTTTAGTTATTGATAATTGCCATTCTGACTGGAGTTAGGTGGTATCTCAGTGTGGTTTTGATTTGCATCTCCCTGATGATTAGTGAAGTTGAACATTTCTTC